CCTTCTCCAGTGACTGGTCCCTCCTGACAATATATCCGAAGTATGAGAGATGAAGTTTGGCCATCCTGGCCTCCAAGGAGCATTCTGGCTCCACTTCTTCCAACACAGAACTGTTGGTTCTTTTGGCAGCCCACGGCACTTTCAACATTCTCCTCCAACACCATAACTCAAAAGCATCAATTATTCTATGGTCTTATTTATTCACTGTCCAGCTTTCGAATGCATATGGGGTTATTATAAATACCATGGCTTGTGATAGGTGGATGTAAAATGGTAGGAAGCATCAGGGTGTAGGATGTATGGTAACTTTTGGTTATCTTTCCTATTCATTTTTGCTGATTAATGAAGACATTGTTTATCAGGAGTACTTGAGTTAGATGAGTCTAGATTTCCTTCCTGCCAACAGTTCTCGATTCTAAAATACAGACTTTTGTAGCCAGATAAAGGTTCAACAGTGACAGCTTCTTACTCTGACTTCTGCAGAGGGAGGAAATTGACCATATAGTTTACTTGGCACATATTGGAAATCGAAGACCTCAGCCACAAAACTGACCAATAATTTGAGAAATTGAGGTTGCAAAGGGAAAGACTGTGAAGCAGGCAGCTTTCTTTGTGGTCCTCATAGCCTGCATTTTGAGGGCCAAATTTCTCTTCTAATGGAATTTGTTGCCTTCAGTTTCCTAGTTCTTCCTTATATCTTGCTCCTCAAATACCTTCCATTCCTACTCTCAGTGACTGACACATAAATTCACTACATGAATTAAGTTGTTAATGTGGCGAAAAGCAACTTTGCTTAAGAGAAAACCAGTACATAATATTTATATAATGTTTTAAGTCCAATTAATACTTTTTTGGTTTGGCTATATCTGCATCCAGGTTGGGGGTGGGGTGCATACTGACATTCTACAACAAAGGCGTGATTCAACTCTTTTAAAGATGAGACTGCCTCTGACAGAAAGTCTTCTTCCTAGAAATAATTAGAATGATTTGGTGCCAGAACAGATATGTCAAATGAAGGGAAAACATGTACAGGTCAGAGGGGACCTTTATTAACCTAAGATTGAATGAAAGTAATAAAAACTGAATTCCCTGAAAACAATATGAGAGTTACTGGTCAAATCTCTGACCGCCTTTGAATCCCTGAAGTGATATCAGAATTGAAAAACTGAGGAATTTTATTTCAGAATAGAAGTGTCTGGAAAAAAGACCAAATGTTCACTAAGGCTGTGTCTTACCCTCTTCTTCTGGGTCCATCATGGCTGGCCTTCTGCCCAAGAGTAGGTGAAGAGTCTAACTTTTCTGCAGTTTGACGGGCTTGCTCTTGGTTCTGTATTCCTTCAGCTTCTCATTAAGAACAAACAGAAAACAAATGAACAAACAAAATTGTCAAAAATGAGAAGAAATTTCTGTTCAATATTCACTAAAGACGTATATAATAATAGACAATGATATTTCCCAGATAAGTTTCCCAGACACACAGCTATTTCTAAATCATTGAGTGTTCCAGAGTTACTGAGGACGAAGATCAGGATTCATCTCTGGGAGATGTGCTGAGATAAACCTTTGAGAGATGAGTGAAATGGAAGAACAAATGTATTATTTCTTTACAGACATTTCTAAGTCAGAGGAGCCTGTTTATGAGAACTCCAAAGACTTGGAGAATGACTTCTAGCGTGGGGTTCTTGAAATAGTACCCTGATTTCTGAGCACATAAGCCATACTTCCTAGAAGAGAGGGTGCTTGTGCAAATGCCTGGTCACTTAAGTCCCTTTGAGTCAGTTCCAACCCACAGCTACCTTGTATAGGGTATCCAAGAAACAGCTCGTGAGCTTGAACTGCCGACTTTACGTACGGTTCAAGCCAAACTTACAATACAGCACATTAACCCACATTGCCACACCAGGACTCCAGTTACTTGATAGTCTATATTCTGTTGTCGCTAAGTGCTGTGGAATTGGTTCCCACCATTAGTGACCCAGTATAAGGTTTCCAAGGCTGTAAATCTTTTTCAGGAGCAGAAAGCCTCATCTTTCTCCCACAGAACAGCTAGTAGTTTCAAACTACTGACTTTGAGGTTAGCAGCCTGACTTTCAACCACTACACTACCAGAGTAATTTAGACAACCATAAATGCCCCCTTCCCCCCTTGTATTTTCAAAAAAATGTTCCTCTGGTTGATTTTTATTTTTCTTTTTTTGGGAGGTGGGGGTAGAATAGCATGGTGAGAAACTGTGTATAAAGAAAGCCATCATTTAAAAGAAATTTGAAATAAATCCTTTTGAAAAATCAAAGATTGCTTTTTTCAGGACGTGAATCATTTCATTCATCTGTTTTATGTTGGTTTCTTAAATGTTTAGCAAAATATTGACAACACATTCATAGAAAGAGCTGTCTGTGATGAAGATAAATGCCTCCTTTCAACATCTCAGCGTGTTAGCTATATGGAAAATCACTGTGGATTTTGTTTTCTACTTACTTACTCTTGTAATAATTGCAGTTTTAAAGGAATGTCATCTGACTCTTTCCATGATACCAAGTGTTAAAATGAGCTCAGGGATTCAGGAAATTCAATGTTGTTTTGTTTTTTTTTTTGTTTTTTTTAAACTTAACAACAGCAACAACAACATAAAATAGTGAAGTAATTTAACCCACCAAGATGAAGATTAAGAGGATTTTTGAAACCAAACCATTGCTGTCATTACCTGGACTTCTTCTTAGGATGGACTGCCGGACAACATCAGTGCCCAGAACATTAACTTGCTTGAAACGCTTTGCCTTTTCTTCAAAAAACCATTCTCCAGTGATAATCCTTAGCTGCCTACACAAGGGAAAAGGGAAATGCATTGAAATTCAATTATTTAGTCAGATAATTAGCTCTCAAAAGTCTCTAATCAACAGCATATAGTCAGTTGTTTAGAAGGTGCAGTGGACGAGCTTTCTCATTATCTTGAGTATTTTATGATAAATATAATTGGAAATCTTAGTTGACTACCTACTACAGGCCAGGTACTTTCTAATTGCTCTTTATATTTATTTTATCCACAGAATAGTCCTGTGTAAGTATTATTATCCCCATTTTAAAGATGAGGAAACTGAGACTTAGTAATGAAATGACTGCATCTCATGACATAGCTGGTAAATAGTAAAGGCAGGATCCTTACTCAACCTGTCTGACTTAGGTCTCAGGCTCTTAACTACTGTGGTGGTGGTGGTGGTGGTGGTGATGTGTTGTGGAGTTCATTCTGACTCATAGCCTTACTGTATAGGGTTTCCAAGTGTATAAATCTTTAGTGGAGCAGAAACCCTCATCTTTCTCCCACAGAGTGGCTGATAGCTTCAAACTGATGACCTTGCGATTAGCATCCCAACTTGGAACTCACTACGCTACCAAAGTTCCTTCTTAGCCACTGTATTAGTAGGTAAATAGATCTTCATATAAGCAATAGAGAACAATCGAGGACTTTGAATGACAAGGGAGTTATGATCAGACTTGGTGTAAAATGGAGGCTGGGTTAAGATAGGACACTACTCAAGGATAGAGATGATAAAACTCATGCTACAAACAACAATGGCAAGAGTAACAGAGAGAAAGAAAGAAATTCACAATATAGGCAATACAAGGGCCTAGATTTTGCAATCAGCTGAATGTTGAGAGTGGGAAAGGATCCTTGAATAATCATACCCATCTTCAAAGTTTCACCTGAATGGTTACATGGGACATTCTCACACTCACCTCCTGAAATGCTTATAGCCCTCTTCTTTGTCTCTACCTCTTCCATGATCACTATCATTTTCTAAGTTATTTTAGAGTTGCGTATGTCCATGTCTACTAAGCTGTAAGCTCACTGAGAGCTGTTCTCTATTTGATTAATCTTTTTGCTCCTAGTACCTGGAAGAGAGGATTTCACAGACTACCTTCTCAGTTAATATCTTTGCTAAATGAATGACTGTGCACTCTCCTATAACCTTAACAGGTTACCCTTCTTTGTATATCCTCACATCTGTCATTGCTCTCAATGACGTGAGAACAGTATCTTTGGCTGTGCTGTTCATCACTGACGCTGTGCTCAGTAAATATTTGTGAAATGAACTGGGGATACTTGGAGTTCAACCCTTAGCAGATCTGCTGCTACAAAGTTCATTTTCATATTTATGACTATGATTAACAACAGTAAATGTAATTCAGTAGTCTAAGTACTTTTCTAACCAGGAATGAAGGCATGTTTCAGAGAATGACAACTAGGCGTGTATGTGACTGAATTAAAGGCCACATAAATGGAAGGTTGTAATAGAAAATAAGATTGCAAAGTAGGATTGGAAACATGTAATGTAAACCTGAATTCCATGTTTAGGAGTCATTCTAGAGGCAATTAGAAACTCTGGTAAGTTTTCTAAAATTCAGACTATATAATAGATTTCTGGAGGATTGTATGGGAAAGGGAGAAATTGGAATAAAGTAGACAAATTGGGTATTTTTTACAATAGACCAAGTAGAAAATGATGATGATCAAAACCAGGGTATCATTAGTATGTAAAGTGAAAAGAAATAAATAGATACTTGGGACATTGAGGATGAGAAGCAGCAAGATGGTTGAGGAAAAGCAGCTGAAGCTCAAGTTGGGATTAATAGTTCCAGGGTATTATATCCATGTGATTCAGCAACTAATTAGACTTGGAAATTAACATTGTTGTTGTTGTTAAGTGCCATCGAGTCGGTTCCGACCCATAGCGACCCTGTACAGGGTTTCTGAGGCTGTAAATCTTTAAGGGAGTAGAAAGACTCATCTTTCTCCCGCTGAGCGGCTGGTAGTTTTGAACCGCTGACCTTAAGGTTCGCAGCCCGATTCGTAACCACTAGGCTACCAGAGCTCCTTTGGAAATTAACATATGGGTTCCAAATATAAAAATCATTCCCAAAACTTATGTCCATCTTGTTCCCCACAACAATATTTCTGAAATCCTGCTTCTGAATGTAAGAGACAAAGATGTGTTATAGATGAAACACAGTTCATTGTTTCACTGAGGAAAAAAGTGAAATTTTTAGTGTTGGAGAAAATTATTCATTGAAAGTAAGACCATAACAAGTTCATCTCGGATTTACTCCTAAGTCACATATTAAGAAGCAATGGCTATATAACTATATATAATAACCTTATGGAATACATCTAATCTTCTAAAATCTACCAGAACCAAAATCTTAACTAGGTTTAATTATTTCTGAATACTTCTTATGTGATTTACGGACTTATATATCACTATTGGAAATCCAGGTGATAATTATGGTATTCTAAATACTAAAGATATTGCCCCAAGATTCCTTTCTCTTGGTTATTCAATCAAACACTAATCTAGGTACTATTGTAAAGGGCCTTCAAAGATGGAAGGTTACTATTTTAAAGATGGAAATAAGGATGATCCAGGTAGACTAACAGGAACCACATGAGCCTTAGAAACAGGAAAAAAAAGTCAGAAAAGATGCTACTGCCTGATTAGTCAGAGAGATTCCAAGTATGAGAAGGACTTGATGAACTCAAAAGCCTCTGAGATGTAGGGGTCCACATGTATGGACTAGAGACAGAGGAAGGAAACCGGGAGAACAGTCCTGTAGTTAAAGGGAACTGGATTTTACCAACAAAAATGAATTTGGAAGTGTATTCTCCCTAGAACCTCTGAGAAGAGGCATGGAAGCCAACACTGTGATTTTGACTTTTGGGGACCAGAAGCAGAGACGCAACCAAGCCAATCCAGATTTCCGACCTTCAAAACTGTGATACATTGTGTTGTTTTATGTTGCTAAGTTTTGGTAATGTGTTATGACAGCAACAGAAAATGAATATAACAATTAAATATAGAGATGCATTTGTTTTAATATGCAACTCAGGAAGTGACTTGCACAAATTGTAAGGGAAAATTCAGGAGAGCAATAGGTTGACACACTATTGCCCATGGGCCAAATTCAAAAGAGGAATACAAAATAATGTAAAATCATATAATTAAAATTCTAATGTTCATAGTAAAAAAATTGGCCACAGTTGAATTGTACCATCCTTCCCACCCCACCCACAAAATGTAACAAATTGGCTAGGCCATGATGGGCAGCATTATGTAATTATCCTCCATTTTGTGATGTGGTGCAATTATCCATAAACATTTTGTGATCAGATGTAATTATTTTATGTATCTTAAATCCTAACTTCTATGATAATAATGAAGCAGGATTAGAGGCAGTTATGTTAATGAATCAGGATACAATCTACAGGATAATGATGCATCTTGAGCTAATCTCTTTTGAGATATAAAAGACATTAAATCAGTAAGCATACAAGGAATTCAGTATCACCATGAAAGAAGTGTCCGGAGCAGAGTACATCCTTTGGACCCAGTGTCCCTGTGCTGAGAACCATCTAGATCCAGGGGAAGATTGAGGCCAAGACACATGGAGATCTCCAAGGAACGCTGACCTAACAGTGTTGAAAGGAGATAATGACTTTTCCCCAGAGCTTACAGATAGAAAAAGATTTCTTTATCTTTAACTCATACTTGATTTGAAACTCTAGCCACCTATCCTGTGAATGAGGAAAATTCAAAGCTGTCATACATGAATTAGAACACATAAACATTGATATCCTTGGCATTAGTGAGCTGAAATGTACTGTTATTGACCCTTTTGAATCTGACAATTACTATTTTGGGGATGACAAATTGAAGAAGAATATAGTGTCGCATCCATCATCAAAAAGAACATTTCATGATCTATTATAATATCCATACACCTACAAGGAAAGCCAGTTAATACCACTATTATTCAAATTTACACACCAACCACTAAAGCCAGTGATGATGAAATTGAAGAATTCTACCAATTTCTTCAGTCTGAAATTTATCAAACATGCAATTAAGATGTATTGATAATTTGTGACGATTGAAATGGAAAGGTTGGAAACAAATAGGATGAATCAGTAGTTGGAAAAATTGAAATGGAAAGGTTGGAAACAAATAGGATGAATCAGTAGTTGGAAAAAAAAATAGAAACCATGTTGGAGATTACATGATAGAATTTTGTAAGACCCATGACGTCTTCATTGCAAATTCCTTTTTTAAACAACATAAAAGAGGACTATATACATGGTCCTCACCAGATGGAATACACAGAAATTGATCATATCTGTGGAAAGAGATGGTTTAAAAGCTTCATATTATCAGCCTTGTTTTGGCCAGGGGCAGACCATGGAACAGACCATCAATTGTTCATATGCTAGTTCAGGCTGAAACTGAAGAAAAGTAAAACAACTCTATGAGAGCCAAAATATGACCTTGAACATACCCCACCTGAATTTAGAGATCATTTCAGGAACAGTTTTGATGAATTAAACACTAATGACCCCAAACCAGAAGAGTTGTGGGAAGACAAGAAAATCATACAGGAAGAAAGTACAAGGTTTTTCAAAATACAAGAAAGAAATAAAATGCAAAAATGGACTCTGAAACTTGCTTTCCAGTGTAGAGATGCTAAAGCAAATGGAATAAATGAGGAAATAAAAGAGCTAAACACAAAATTTCTAAAGGCAGCTCAAAAGAGAGAAAGCTAAATATGATAATGAAATGTGCAAACATTTCATTTTTTTCACTTAGAAAACCTAAAGGGAAGAACATGCTCAGTATTTCTCAAGCTGAGAGAACTGAAAGAAAACCTCAAGCCATGGCTTGCCATATTGAAGGATCCTATGAGCAAAATATTGAGTGATGCAAAAAGCATCAAAAGAAGATGAAAGGAATACACAGTCACTGTATCAAAAACAAACACAACAACAAAACCAG